GAGGGAGAGGTGTTACAGAGAGTGAAATTGAGAGAAAAAACTGGGTATAGGGATGTTTGAGAAAAGGATAAAATATGAGCCGGATTCAAGAAAATAGAAGATGACAACTGACGTTGCATTTAAATTTTTGAAGATTTTAGTTTTCAGGAGACGATAAACGGAAGGAAGTTCCACAGGCAGGAAGTGCGAGAAAAGAAACTATTATTGTAGACCTTTCGGTTACATTTAATTATTTCAACGGTAAAAGTGTAGAATCTAGATGCCAATCTAGTAGCAGGCTTAAATCCCCGTAGTCGGGGTACCAGGGAAAAATGCTCGTCGGTGCAGTAACCATGAAAATATTTGGAGAAAAGACAGAGAGAAGCCACATCACGTCGGTGAGAACGTGACTGAAGTCGAGATCCTTTGGATTTTGTCAAGTATTTCGAGATGAATAACAGAATAACAGGTCAGATATGGCAACAGTATTCAATTCACGGACATGGTAGATTTGTAAATGTGCAAGATTGATTCTGACGAGAAAAACCTTCGCTTAAAATATCTTAATTCTTCTACCAGTGTCTTACCATCTTCAGTGTCACATCGAATGTTCTAGCAGCAGCGCAATTGTTCGATTCCTTGACAGCTTCAATAACTTTCAATTTAAAACTTGCTTCAGAATTTCTTCGTTTCGAAGATAGAAAAACAACTGCTGTAATGTGCCGTTATGCAAACAGTCGTATTATCATAAGCTGTCATGTTGATGGAATTTAAGTAACGCTCAATGACTATTAACGTTTTAGGCATATGAACGCACATTTTTGTTTTCGCGCGTTTGAGCGCAATTTTTTTCTCATTCGTACGTGTCGTAAGAATAAACTTATTGTTATTTTCATAAAGATTCATGTTAATAATTTATATTAGTTTATACCTTTTAATTTGATAACGATTAAGCTCAGCAAAATAACATTTTAAATAACGCGTATAAAATAACACCCGCTTTATTTTATATTCGTAAGAATCATTAAGTATCCTCTTTAATGAAACATATATAAGAGAAGGACTACTGCCCAAATACAGAATATATATATATATATATATATATATATATGAATAATGTGAGTAAAAGTTTATCACCTAGCCGATTGATTTTACCTTCATCATCCTGACTCCAGAGTTTCATAATTGAACCTCTCCGTCCACTCTTCAGGGGTATCAGCAATTTACGGCTGAAATTTTTTTCAATTTTTTCCTTTTATGCATATTTAGCATTGGTGTAAATCTCCTCTGTCTCTGCGGATGTGCGTTCGCTCGCGTCGGCTCGCGTGCGCTCGTGTGCGCCCGTTTGCGCGGATGTGCATACGTGTAGAGAGTTGTGATCATTTTTCCCTTTTCTTCGTTTCTTTTCACTTTATACTCGCTCATTTACCCTTCTTTCTTTTTTTGTTTTCTTTTTTTTCTGACTATTGCTGATTTTGTGTGGTTTGTCCCGACTGTAGACATGTGACCGATTTTTATTTTTATTTATGAGCTTCCTGCTTTTTTTTTTTTTTTGGCTAGGGAAGTGGTATTATATTTTTTCGTCCTTCAGGACTTCATCAGACTAAATTTGTTATGTTCATAATATAATACATTTTAATTAGATACCAATAAACCTAAGCAAAATACCATTTGTAATAACACCAGCTTTATTTTATACTCGTAGAAATCATTATAATAGGCCTACCTGCTACGTTTTCGGTCGTCATATTACAGATTTCAGATATAATCACAAAAATTTGCCTAGATTTTAGGTCTCTTCTCCTCGTCGCCTTATATATAGAAATATTCGGTGTAAACAGTGAAACCTCGGAAACGAATTTAATTCGTTCCTGAAGGCCGTTCGTAACCCGAAATGTTCATAAACCGAAACTATTTTTCCAAAAGATCACAGTGGAATAAAACTGGAAAAGAAAAGCACGCCACAACACACGAATGTATACAACACGGCGGTCGACTGAGAAATTATTCCGTTTGTGTTAACTCGGTTCGGCTATGTTGTTCGAAAACCGAAAATTTGTTCGATAACTGAGGTATTTTCATCTCTAATTTTCTGTTCGAAAACCGATTTGTTCGACATGTGAGACGTTCGACAACTGAGGCTCTTCTGCATATAGAAAAAAGTCCCACTTCTTTTTTTTGTTTCTCATCGTGAAAAGACACAGGCGCGCCCGAAAATTCCCATCATTTGGTGAAAAGACCTCCTAATATGGAATAATTATCATCAGTCTTATTATCAGTATAATTATTTTGTTGTTTTTTCTCTCTTGAATTTCTTTCATCAGCCTATATATATATATATATATATATATATATATATATATATATATATATTTTGTTTGAATAAAAGACAGACCACGTTAAGATTCCATGTAATAAGCTATTTCACCATAACCCTTTAACAGGGTTCTGGATCATCAGATTTTACTTCCAAAAGCTGAAATGAAGATTCGGTCTAACAGACCGTCTTCAGGACATGTCC